CTCTCTACGACTTCCCCCTGTCCGACAAAACCCTTTAAAAAAAATTAAATGATTCAAAGGCCAAAAATCGGGGAATCCCTCCCCTGAGAACTTAAAAACTGAGACACATTCATCACCTTCAAAACTCCCTTTAGAAAACATTTATCCCCCTGATACCCCCCGTAAAACCTAACTACACGAAACCACTGGTGGTTAAAAAACCCTTTCACTCACTCACTATTTGACCATAAAAAAGAAAAATTAATCTAATCTTAAAAAATAAATCCTGGATACCCAATACCTTGCTAAACCACAAACTGTATTTAGTCACTTACCATAATACCAAAATTACCTCATAATTGTAATATTTTACAATTAAGAATAAAACTAATCTGCCCGAAAGCCTAACCATGCTAAGCTTTAGTGGTACATTGTAATCACAAATTTTTCTCATGTAAACCACACAAAACCCCAATTTCTGAAACTCAACATTTTAAACCCCTTTTAGAATAAACTTTGAATTTGAATTTGAATTGAATGAGGACCTTGCAAATCTAGAAACGGATATTAACCATGTTTTTAAATGGGCATCGGAAAACAATACGACGCTCAATGAGGACAAAATTTCGTTTACTCCACTATGGAAAACACGAGGAAATAAAAACTGGATCAGTATATAAAACGAATTCCAGCTACAAAATAGAGAGGAAAAACTAATGTGAAGGACCTGGGAGTGATAATGTCAGAGAATCTCGCTTTCAAAGATCACAACAAAGTATCTACCACATCTGCTAGGAATATGATAGGATGGATAATGATGCTGTACTGTTGTACACTAACGGCCCCTTTCAAGGCAGGCGAAATTCAGACCTGGAAAATATACAGAGAGCTTTCATTGCACGTATATGTACAATAGAGCATTTAAATTAGTGGGAACAGTTGAAGTTCCTTGATCTGTACTCCTAGGAACCCAGGCGAGAAAGATACACGATAATACGCAAATAATCCCACACATAGGAGAGAAAAACATGGCTCACGAAATCGTAATGACACGATTGCAAACAAGCCATACCACGGGCGGGGATGGAAAACCGTGGTCAGAGAGTCTCAAAACTCCAGACCGCCGCGTTAGCAACTGGACTAGCTAGCCACAATAAGATTCATCCAACTAGGTATATTTCTACCGTTAGTTGTAGGCAGAAATATACCTAGTTGGATGAATCTTATTGTGGCTAGCTGGTCCAGTGGCTAACGCGACGGTCTGAAGTTTTGAGACTCTGATCGCGGGTTCTATCCCCACCCGTGGTATGGTATTTTTACAGGAGAGAAAGCTTAGGACGACTTTTCGGTCCGAAACGTCGTCATAAGCTTGTTTTCTTCTATATGCTGGTTATTTGTGTATTGTTCAGGCACGGTATTGTGCCTTATTGTTGTTCATGAGTGATAATATACACTTGGAAAAATCCTAGAGGCACTAGTTCTAAATCTGCTCATGGAAATCACTCAATACGAAAACAAAAGATTTGGCAGCCGATGCAACAATCTTCCAATGAAACGCAGGGGCGCCATGAGTACGCTAAGGGAAAACACAATAAGTGTCAGGGGCCGAAGACTGTTCACCTGTTTCCCAGCATACATAAGGGGGGTTACCAGTTGACCCTTGGCTGTCTTCAAGGGATAGCTGGACAGGCATCTAAAGTCAGTACCTGACCAACCGGGCTGTAGTTCGTACGTAGGTTAGCCTGCGGCTAGTAGTAACAGCCTGGCTAATCTATCGAGAGGTCTGGTCACAGATCGGGCCGCGGGGCGTTGATCTCCAGAACATCTTCCATGTATACTCCAGGTAGGTAAAACATCCGAAATAGGTCAGGTGTATGTTTACCAAGTATTAGCACTGCAGGAGGCTTACCCAGCAGGGGCACTGCAAGAGGCCTACCGAGCAGGAGCGTTGCAGGAGGCTTACCGAATATTAGCACTGCAAGAAGCTTCCTGGCCCTGGCTAGGTGTTCTGTGTTCCAAAGTGAGGTGCGCTTTGGGAATCACCAAAGTGAGTATCCCACAATTTTGTTTCCATGCATTATGTAATCTGATTGTAGATGACTTCAAGCAAGTACTTACGTTTAGCATTCTGGTGTTCTTGAAGCAGCAGCCTGGCGCTCTGTACCACTCCGTGATGCAGGAGTGGGAACTGAGGCGCTGTACACAAGTGTTGATGGTGTTGTACACAAGTGTTGAGGGGTTTTTGTACAAAAGTGTGTTGGGTGCACAAGTGTTGATGGTGTTGTACACAAGTGTTGATGGTGCTGTACACAAGTGATGTTGGTGCTGTACACAAGTGTTCATGGTGTTGTACACAAGTGTTGTTGGTGTACACAAGTGTTGATGGTGTTGTACAGAAGTGTTGTTGGTGTACACAAGTTTTTGATGGTGTTGTACACAAGTGTTGATGGTGTTGTACACAAGGTTTGTTGGTGTACACAAGTGTTGATGGTGTTGTACACAAGTGTTGTTTGGTGTTGTACACAAGTGTTGTTGGTGTACACAAGTGTTGATGGTGTTGTACACAAGTGTTGATGGTGTTGTACACAAGTGTTGTTGGTGTACACAAGTGTTGATGGTGTTGTACAGAAGTGTTGATGGTGTTGTACAGAAGTGTTGATGGTGTTGTACACAAGTGTTGATGGTGTTGTACAGAAGTGTTGTTGGTGTACACAAGTTTTTGATGGTGTTGAAACAAAAGTGTTTGATGGTGTTGTACAGAAGTGTTGTTGGGTGTACACAAGTGTGAGGGTGTTGTACACAAGTGTTGATGGTGTTTTTACACAAGTGATGTTGGGTTTGTACACAAGTGTTGATGGTGTTGTACACAAGTGTTGATGGTGTTGTACACAAGTGTTTTTGGTGTACACAAGTGTTGATGGTGTTGTCCCACAAGTGTTGATGGTGTTGTACACAAGTGTGATGGTGTTGTACACAAGTGTTGTTGGTGTACACAAGTGTTGATGGTGTTGTACAGAAGTGTTGATGGTTTGTACACAAGTGTTGAGGGTGTTTGTACAGAAGTGTTGGTGTACACAAGTGTTGGATGGTGTTGTACACAAGTGTTGAGGGGTTTTTGTACACAAGTGTTGATGGTGTTGTACACAAGTGTTGATGGTGCTGTAACAAGTGATGTTGTACACAAGTGTTGAGGTGTTGTACACAAGTGTTGATGGTGTTGTACACAAGTGTTGATGGTGTTGTACACAAGTTTTGATGGTGTTGTACACAAGTGTTGATGGTTTTTGTACACAAGTGTTGATGGTGTTGTACACAAGTGTTGATGGTGTTGTACAAAAGGGTTTGATGGTGTTGTACACAAGTGTTGATGGTGTTGTATACAAGTGTTGTTGGTGTTGTCACAAGTGATGTTGGTGTTTTTCACAAGTGTTGTTGGTGTTGTACATAAGTGGTTGATGGTGTTGTACACAAGTGTTGATGGGTTGTAGTGTTGTAAACAAGTGTTGTTGGTGTTGTACACAAGTGTTGTTGGTGTTGTACACAAGTGTTGTTGTGTTGTACACAAGTGTTGATTGTGTTGTACACAAGTGTTGATGGTGTATCACCTAATTGTGGTTGCGGGGGTCCAGACTCAGCTTGTACACAAGTGATGTTGGTGTTGTACATAAAGTGTTGATGGTTTTTGTACCCCAAGTGTTTTTGTTGTACACAAGAGTTGTTTTTGTACACAAGTGTTGTTGGTGTTGTACACAAGTGTTGTTGGTTTTGTACACAAGTGTTGATGGTGCGTACACGTGTTGTTGGTGTTGTTCAGTCTATAAGTGTATGAGTGTTCTCGAAGGCCTATGAAAATTTCCCCCAGCAGCTTCACCAACGGACACTACAGAAGCTGTAGGCTCCTGGGCTGAGTGTATAGGTCCTCCTTCATGTCTCACTGCTACGATACTCTTTCTTGTCTCTCGCTTTATTGTGACTCGACAATTGTTCATGATGGACCGAAATGTCGTTGGTGTGGGTATTTTGTGACCTGTTTCATCTACACAGCTGTAACTTGCATTTTGTTCCCTCCTGCATACTATAAGCTCTATCGTAAATCCCCTCTATACTGTGCTTTTGTAAATACATTGAAAAACCATACAGGCGTTCTATGAATGCCTTTCCACGCCCTATTCAATTCAGGATATACTTTTTCAATCGCGTTTTACCAACAATTGCTCAGTAAAGGATTTTTATAAGAGAGATAAATTGAATTACTCTACCTAGAAATATGTTGACTGAAAAAAAATAAAAAAAAATATGGTGTCCAGATGACAATCTTCAGCGAACTCTCATCAACCTGTTCTTAACGTTAGATCAGGTTGAAATTTCAAGAATGGTTCTCAATCAGGTTACTTGCAACTCTCGGTCAGTGTTCAACCTTCAAACAGCAATACCGAAAAGTAAAAAAAAAATTGCCCCGTAGGTTGCTGTTAATGATGTAGTCGTGAGAAGACGCTGGAAATAAACTAGAAAAAGCCTCTGTGAAAGGAGGCCAACCGCATGTGATTCTTCGTGCAAGACAAGCCATATATATACATATATATATATATTATATATATATTTTATATATAATATATATATATATATATATAAAATATATATATATATATATATAATATATATAAATATTTTATATATATATATATATATATATATATATATATATATATATATATATATTAATATATTATATATATATATATATATATATATATAAACCAGCTTGGATTTGGGGTCTCTCAAGGAAGTGAAGCAGCGTTTCATGCAACAAGGGCGTATATCAACAACCTGCCTGAGGACAATGCAGGGGTAAAATTAGATTTCAAGAAGTTTAGTTAGTTTAATATGTTTATTATGCACCCCATACCCACCCTGTGGCGGTAGTCAAAAGATTAGAGGTACATAATTGGTCCAGGGACTGGACTCCAAAGTTTTGATAGCTGAGCAAGTTACAAAGGTAATGAACTAGATCGGTCATAATCATGACCAAGTTACAAAGGTAAATGAGCCCCAGGTTGAGTGGTCACACTCATGAATAATTGCAAAGGTAATGAATCATAAACACATTTTTTCAAGAATGCGTTCAATCTCCTGAAAAGAGACGTGGTATTAGCAGCAGTACAAAAAACATTTCCCTGGTCTCTTCCCTTTTGTTTCAGCGGGGTATTAGCAAGGATCAATGCTTCTCTTTGGAGAGCTTGAAATCACATCATCGGAGGGTTTTCCAACAAGGAGATCCTCTGCACCATTTCTCTTCTGTATAGCAGTTAGGGAATCACAGTCAGACTGCCCAAGCGAGCTAAACATCTGGTTCCTTGATGATGGCACACTAGCGGGTACAAAGGAGTCCCTCCTACATGACTTACACAGGTAATGACACGGGGACAGGAAATGGTCTCATCCTATATATAAAATATATTATATATTTTTTTAAAATTATAATATTTTTATATATATATATAATATATATATTATATAATATATTATATATATATATATATATATATATATATATACAGTGGTCCCCTGCTTTTCGTAGTTCCCGGCAATCGTAAAATTCGCGAATCATAAGGGGTATTTTCGTATAAACTGGATCGCTTTTCATACGTTGACTCGCGAGTCGAGTCGTAGTTCGTCTGGGATGCGTACCCATGGCGTGAGCCAGGGCGGCAGCCAGTCTGGCATTGTTTACCAGTGAGCGAAGGTCCCCTCACATGCTCCAGCAAAATATTTCATAATATTCCATTTATTTTAGTGCTTGCAAGTACTAAATAAGCTACCATGGCTCCAAAGAAAGCTCCTAGTGCCAAGCCTGTGGTAAAGAAGGTGAGAAATATGATTGAATTTAAGAAAACCATCATTGAACAATATGAAAGTGAAAGTTAAGACACATGTGCAGCATCTGGAAATCTTTACTGTAGACGTTTCGCCATCCAGTGGCTTTATCAATACAGATTCTAGGACATAATAAGAAGACAGTAGAACTATATACAAAAGATGAGGTAATCAGTCCCTCAGCCTTGGAGTTAGTGTTCACAGCATTGTGGTGGAGGAGAATCTGGAGCAAAGGCAAGAAGATTGGCGGTTATATAACCAGATGCTGCACATGTGTCTTAACTTTCATATTGTCGGTATTTTATACCTTTCTTGCACAATATGAAAGTGGTACAAGTGTGGCCGAACTGTCCAGGATGTATAAGAAACCCTACACAACCTTATGTTCCATAGTGGCCAAGAAAAATGAAATAAAGGATGCTGTTGTTGCAAAGGGAGTAACTATGCTGACAAAAATGAGATCACCAGTACTGGAAGAGGTTGAGAAGTTATTATTGGTGTGGATAAATGAGAAACAATTAGCAGGAGATACTCTTATGACTTCGTTTATTTGTGAAAAGGCTAGGCAGTTGCATGAAGATTTGGTAAAGAAATTGCCTGCAAATAGTGGTGAAGTGAGTGAATTTAAGGCCAGCAAAGGCTGGTTTGAGAGATTTAAGAACCGTACTGGCATACACCCGTGTGATAAGGCATGGTGAGGGTGCCAGTTCGGACCACAAAGGGGGCTGAAAAAAATGTGCATGAATTCCAGTACATAGAGGCTGAAGGACTGAAACCTGAACAAGTGTTCAATTGTGACGAAACAGGCCTCTTTTGGAAGAAAATACCAGAGGACCTTCATTACACAAGAGAAAAGGCAATGCCAGGACACAAGCCTGTGAAAGAAAAGGCTGACGCTAATGTTCTGTGCTAATGCTAGTGGGGATTTCAAGTGAAGCCATTACTAGTGTACCATTCTGAAAATCCCAGTGTTCAGGAAAAACAATGTTATGAAGAGTAAAATTTTGTGTGTTTTGGAAATCTAATAGTAAGGCATGGGTCACGAGGGAAATTTTCGTCGAGTGGGTTTAATGAAGTGTTTTTGGGCCCCAGTGTGAAGGAGTATTCCTGGAAAAGAAATTGGATCTCAAGGGCCTGCTAGTAATGGCAATGCACCTGCTCATCCTCCAAACCCTTTGGGTGACCTAATTTTCGAGGAGTTGGGTTCATCACAGTAAAGTTCTTGCCCCCGAATACCACTCCTCTCCTCCAACCCATGGCACAGCAGGTTATTGCAAACTTTAAAAAACTCTACACAAAAGCAATGTTTCATAGGTGCTTGACTGTGACCACAGACACTCATTTACCCTAAGGGAATTTTGGAGAGAACAATTCAGCATCCTCCACTGCATAACCCTTATAGGTATGGCTTGGGAGGGAGTGACTACCAGGACTTTGAACTCTGCCCGGAGAAAATTGTGGCCAGATTGTGTCGACAAGGGGATTTTGAAGAAATTTGGGACTGACCCTAAGGAGCCTATGTTGTTGTAAAATTCATTGTGGCACTGGGGAGTTCCATGGGGTTGGATGTGAGTTTGGGGGATGTGAAGAATTGGTGGAAGACCACATGAAGAGCTCACCACTAAGGAAACTGCAAGAGCTTCAGCAGGAAGAGCAACACATCGCAGCTCAGAATCTTGCTGCAGAGGAGGAGGAGGAGGAAGAGAGATGGAAGAAGGTGCCTTCTTCAGAAAATTAAAGAGATTTTTATATGTGGGGTAAAATGGAAAGCTTATGGAGAAACATCACCCTAACAAGGTTGTTGCAAGCCAGGTTGGCAACATGTACAGTGACAAAGTCTTGGGCCATTTTAGGGAAGTGTTAAAGAGATGCCAGAAACAGAGCTCTCTCCATAGTTATTTTGTGAGACAGGATTCCAGTGACTCTCAAGGTGGTTCTAGTGGCATTAAGAAACAGAGAAGAGAAGCAACCCCAGAAAAGCAAATGGTACCTGAGGTGTTGATGCAAGGGGATTCCCCTTCCAAACTATAAACAATCCACTCTCTTTCCTCCTCCAGTCTCCCATACACTAAGAAGAATCTCCAATAAAGGTAAGTGTTATGCTGTTAATGTTTCATTCATTTCCCATTGTATTGTTTATGTACTACATGTATATTTCAAGTTAAAATTTTTTTTGTTTTAATACTTCTGGGTGTCAGGAACGGATTAATTGTATTTACATTATTTCTTATGGGGAAAATTGATTCGTAAATCATAAATTTCGTTTATAGTAATGGCTCTAGGAACGGATTAATTACGAACGAGGGACCACTGTATATATATATATATATATATATATATATATATATATATATATACGTTTTGTGGCATGCAAAGAGTATGTTTCACTTTATTCGGAGAGCATGTACACACACCCATATAGGCTGCCTCCCAACTAGCGAACCAGGTGCTAAGGGTTTAACAGTAAAGGCACCCATCGTTGAATCAGTACCTTGGTTCATTAACCAATCATCAGGTGGGCCTGCCAAGTGCTGAGGTGACGTGGTATTACTCACGGTTAGCACTCGCCAGACTAGCATAGTCGCTGGTTGAGCACGGTTCTCTTGTTCCAAGGAACTGGATGTATTGATCCAGCTGACTGGACCTATCCACCCTCGGATTGAACCTAGCCTTCAACTCACCAGGCACTATATGACCCCCACGGGTTTAGAGCTTATCAATAATAATAATAATAATAGTACTACCATGAGATACTTGGCTAATTGTATTGCCGAGTTGTGTAATAATGATTCTCTCTCTCTCTCTCTCTCTCTCTCTCTGGCTTTTGTCTTTGCCTTGATTACCATGTGGTACACATATATTTCAAACTCTTGTACATAATGTACATACTTGAAGGAAAATAAAAGTTAAAGACTACTTCTGTATTTATTTTCACTCCAGTCCCATTACAACCAGGTCAACAGGCCATCATTACAAGTTAAAAAAGCCTAGGGAATGAATGGATTTGTCAGTTAAAAACAAAGTAGGGGAGTTAGTAGATGGGGAGATGGAGGTATTGGGTAGATGGCGAGAATATTTTGGGGGACTTTTAAATATCGACGAAGAAAGGGAGGCGGTAATTTCATGCACTGGCCAGGGAGGTATATAATCTTTTAGGAGTGAAGAAGAAGAGGATGTGAGTGTGGGGGAGGTGCGTGAGGCATTACGTATAATGAAAATGGGTAAAGCAGCTGGAACTGACGGGATCATGACAGAAATGTTAAAAGTAGGGGGATATAGTGTTGGAGTGGTTGGTATTTTTGATTAATAAATGTATGAAAGAGTGGAAGGTACCTAGGGATTGGCAGAGAGCATGTATAGTCCCTTTATATAAAGGGAAGGGGGACAAAAGAGATTGTAAAAAGTAAAGAGGAATAAGTGTACGGTAGGGTTATAATTGAAAGAATTAGATGTAAGAGTATGTAGGATTGCGGATGAGCAAGTAGGTTTTAGAGTGGGTAGGGGATGTGTAGATCAAGTGTTTACATTGAAGCATATATGTGAACAGTATTTAGATAAAGATAAGGAAATTTTTATTGCATTTATAGATTTAGAAAAGGCATATGATAGAGTGGATAGGGGAGCAATGTGGCAGATGTTGCAAGTACGTATATGGAATAGGTGGTAAGTTACTAAATGTTGTAAAGAGTTTTTATAAGGATAGTGAGGCTCAGGTTAGGGTGTGTAGAAGAGAGGGAGACTACTTCCTGGCAAAAGTAGGTCTTAGACAAGGATGTGTAATGTCACCATGGTTGTTTAATATATTTATAGATGGGGTTGTAAAAGAAGTAAATGCTAGGGTGTTCGGGAGAGGGGTGGGATGAAATTATGGGGAATCAAATACAAAATGGGAATTGACACAGTTGCTTTTTGCTGATGATACTGTGCTTATGGGAGATTCTAAAGAAAAATTGTAAAGGTTAATGGATGAGTTTAGGAGTGTGTGTAAAGGAAGAAAGTTGAAAGTGAACATAGAAAAGAGTAAGGTGATGAGGGTATCAAATGATTTAGATAAAGAAAAATTGGATATCAAATTAGGGAGGAGGAGTATGGAAGAAGTGAATGTTTTCAGATATTTGGGATTTGACGTGTCGGTGGATGGATTTACGAAGGATAAGGTTAATC